GAAACAGGTATCTGGTCAAACTACAGCTACTTCCAAAGTACACAGAGAAGCACAAACAAAGAGGTTGAAGTTCCAACAACATCTGTTGTATGAAGAACAACATCATTGCTCGTTTTGGCCTTCAGCCTTCGTCAGGGTCAGCAAAAATTATATGAACCAATCATATACATCCAGTGTACATATCCACCAATTACACATATGAGTGGACTGGTCTGCAATAAATTTAAGTGCAGTAGATTTTTACTGCAAAGTAAAGTAATAAAGTTGTACAACAAAAAAGGTACCGTTTGTTAGTCACACAGTTACTATGTATCTCTATGAAATATATGGGGGTCTATATTTATAACTACAATAAACATTAACTAAATGCAATACCAGGTGATGAAGGTACAAAAACAACTATATTTTGCAAGCAGATAAGCAGGAAACATCTTAAAAAACAGAAAGAGGAGAGAAGTACACAGAGGAATGGTTTGTGCGTGACCTGCTCAGTACATAAATGAAAATTAATTAATCACTTGGGAAGTGGGTACACCAAAATGGAAAAGGATGAAGTACAAAGTCGTTAAGTTTGATATGGCAATATTTAGACACATAAATAAGAACAAAGACCCTCTAGTGCACTTAAACGCAGTAGTAAAAAACACATTTTCAATATCACCGGTGACCCACATTAAGAAAGATGGAACAGTAAAAGTTATTTACTGCATATTTTATATCATTCTTGAGAGCCGATAGGATGCTGTTAAAACTCGAATGCCAAAACAGAACATAAGTCAAGGTTAAATTCAACTTCTCACGCAAATCCCAGAGTGTCTCTATCTTGACGCCACCTTGGGGGCAAGTTCACTATAATACAAGGGTTTGTTTTGTCACTGTCATGTCAAACACATTATCCAGTAGGAGCTATCAGCTGTCATCTTCTAGCCGAGTGTGCATGTTTATAAGATATTGTTTGTGGGAATGCATTTTGGGAACGCTCTCGGGCAAAATGAATGAAAGCTAATGCTCCTAGCAGCCTTGGAAAAAGCCCACAGAGAAAGGGGGGGGAGCTAATCCTATCATTCTACACCATTCATCTGCAATCCACTTGGCTTTCAGCATTTTCCTCAACGGGCAATTTGTGGCTTCCCTGCTGGATCTCCTCGAAGCCTGTGTGTTATGACTGCTAAACACTTCCAGGCCGCATGGGAGTCAGAGAGGAGGCCACTAAATACAGTCTGCGACCCTGTCACTGTCCGCACTGGCAGCTGCCAACCCACGATATGCTGCCAGAAATAGCTTAATGACAAACAGTTTCACAAGCCATCAAACTGTGGCCCGTCAAAGTCAAATTGTGAACAAAAAAGAGGCACGCAATAGCCACAAAATCACTAGTCAACAAGTAAAACGCTCCCTCTATCTCATGTACCATGACGTAAAATCTTAGTTCTAATATCTTGACAAGATACTCTCCGAAAGGATAATACAAATAAAGACTTGGGTATTTTTTATGTTGAAAGTCATACTGTAGTATAAGTGGTTAATATAGTTTCTGAGCTTGAATCTGAATGACTTCCAGATGGTGGCGTCTCCCTCCATATCTCTTTCTGCCTGATAGACGCTATACTTGCTTCCAGGGAAGAATCTGAGCAGCTGTCCATGACTAACTATAATGGGGGACCTGTATTACCGTCTCCTCAGTTCAGGCTTTTCAGCTCTTTGGAGACAAGCCCCCATATGTATGTAAAGCACACACGCTCCCAAGTGTATTAATAAAATATACATGTACACAGGTGAATGACTTTACTTTTATCAAGTAATGAAAACCTTAACTTGAAGAAATACCCTTTGAGTTATGAACTTTATTAGCAAGTTTCTTGGCTGCAAAAGAACTGCATGTCCTATGATTTGTTAGGACCTCTGCACACAGACACATTACAGAAAATCTTTATTTGTCTGATTTCCTTTAGGAAAAACCTTTTCATATATCACAGAAACCTTTATCAGAGCCATCTAGAATATTCTTGCTGTAAAAGGGCAGTTAGTGTTATTATCACTTATTACTACATAACTACAATCAATCTTTAAACAAGTCCAATATTTCCTCTTTGGGTCTTCACCTGAGTCTCCTTTGGAAACAACAACATAGTGTAGTGTAACAAGCAATGAGCAGAGGAGGGGGCTGTTTGACAACATGCTGCTCAATAGTCCAGAGCTGCAACTTTCCTGCAAAGCTCCCATAGCTCCCCTGTGTGTTGCTGGAACGCTGGCATCCTGGCTGTGGGCTATGGTCAGTCAGAGCCCAGGGAGCTGTGACAGCCTGCTGCTCTTTCAGCCGCAGAAAAAAAAGCAAAAAAAAAAAAAGCACTGAAGCATAAGAGTCCTCTAGGCAGAGAAGAAATGAGCAAAGATGCTGCAGTAACACAGGCACACTCACATATGCCTGAGGATGACGCACGTAAAAGGCAAAGTTTATGTGTGCACAAACACATGCTATCACTATCCTGCGTGCACTGCAGTCAAATGATTTGGAAAAACACGCTTCAACGGCACATCGTCCAGTCTGCTATTTATCCAGAGAACAAGACAAAATGCAAAATCGGTCAAGCGGTAAAAGTATTCTACTGTATATCCTACAAGTGTTGCAGGACATTTAACCCATACAAATATTACGCTGGAAATTTACCCCCAAAAAATCAGAAACATTTCTGCAACCCATCCAGGAACTGCCTGAGGTTTTCTAAAAGTCATACTTTCGATCTTCCTCACTTCCATTCCAGCAGAGCTGCAAATCAGTCCAGCACAGTGTAGGAGAAGGAATGCTCTTCTATCTAATTTCTAACCACTGGAATACTAGTAAGCACGCACTCACGTACTGAGCTGCCCTAAGGTAGAGGAAGTGCATTTTCAGTCCTGAAATTTAGTGGTACTCTCTGTAAACTCCCCATCTTGACATGCTACATGCACAAGAAGTTTCTGATATGATGACTGTGGTAGCCATACCGTTGTGGAGCCCGAAGGGTGGCTTTGAGCTCAAAGAAATGGGGATTAGCAACCAATCGGTTCTCCTTTCATGCTCAAGTTTATCTTGTGTTAGGCTTTGTTTTGACTCCTATTCCTGTGTAATGCCCTGGAATCCCCTTTAGGGAGGCAGCCATCTACGATTCCCTGTTGTCCTGCCTTCCTTTGCCCACTTTACAGACCCACTTGGCAGCGGGCCTGTCGTCAGTGGGATCTCTCAAACAGCAAACCTCATAGTGAGACCCTTTCAGAGAGGCTGAAATGAGCTTAGAGCTGAACAGCTAACCAGAAACTTAGACACATTGTGTTGTTCACCAAGAGCCTGTGAGATAGTCGGTTAACAAAGAATTAGCAGAGAACCCTTTCAGCCTCTCTTCAAGTGTGTCTTGCATATCAAGGCAAGCTGGACTAAAACTAAATCAGGGCCACAGCCTTGCTTGAAGAAAGAAACAGCTATTTCCTTTTCGGTTTTGGTAAAAAAGGCTGTCTATTGTCCTTGCAGCAAGGAGAGACCAAATGGACTGTGGCTAAGATAATGTAATGTTCATCCTACAAGGCCAGCCAATCACAGAAAACCACTGTTTTCACTGAAGGCCTGCTCAACTCACAGCAGCTGTGTAAATATATTAGACAGAATCCTGCCTGCTCCTAGTAAAAACAGAAACTCTGTTTCTTATAAATATATGGATTATTGTATAAATAAATCAAGAGATAGACCTAATCTAAATAAATCTTTGGAATGTGCAAAAAAACAAGGATTTTGTGGTTTGTGGATGAAAGCACGTAAGCAAGGTGGTGGGTTCCCGTGAAGAGGCCCGAGATGCCAAGTGATTTTGCCGAGGTGCTCCCTTTGCCAGTGAGTTCTTGAGCAGAACTCAGTGTAATTGTGTAATATGCTAATGCAATGTCACGCTTGTGACTCATCTTTAGTGGATGTAACTATTTGAGAAGTTGCAGAATACTTGCCGCTCATTCTCATATAACCTCGAAGCAGCAAAACCCAACTACTTCAGACATTTGGCTTCACAATCCATTTAATTGCAACATAGAGGTGTCTGTTGCACTCACAATAAGTCATCTATAGAGCAGGAATTTGTCAACATCGTCTTTAATGAAACCGGCACTCATGTATGTCTCATTTTTCTTCCATCAATTGACTTCTGATGAGGCTGCAGGGTAGTACACTGACACAGAAAGTGGGATTTGTGGATATTTGGTGTGACACTGTTTTGTTTACCCTCTGTGGGCAGGGCAAATCCATATATCACACAGCCCAGCCTGAAACATACAGTCCGCGCATGGCTAGAAGCTTAGATAGTGTGTGAATGATCATCTGCCAGCTGTGGATTGTGTGGGCATTGTCTCATCTAAAGCCCTTATGATTCAGTCGCATGCACCGTAGCCATTGTTCTTCTGCTGTTTTAAAGAAGAAAATTCAGCTTGAAGAGGTGGCACAGATGTGTCCAAGAAACATCACAAATTACTTCTTGGTGCGGGAGACTTAATTTCTTGAAAACCAAAATGACACATCACAAATCTACACCAAAGCCTTTGTGGAATTTGAGAAAGGGCAGAGTTTTATAACCTTAAAGTGGGTTGCCAAACAAAAAAAAGAAAAATAACAGCATGGTTATTCACAGTCGTAAAATAGAGAGGTGGGTACAAAGGCCTGCCTTTCATTTAATCACAACCCAAAGTAGTCTACATGAAAAGCCTTCATTTGACAAACATGAAACATTACCATTTTGTTGTGTTCTCTGTTGCTTTTGTTTAAATAAAGAAGATTAAGGCTTTTCAGAACTGTATCTAAAATGAAAGATGCTAAATCCTTTTGTTCCCGTACCTTTTCCAAATTTCCAAAATTTTCAAACACAGCTTTTCTCACTGAAGGCTTACTCGCTGTTAAACAAAAACACCAAAAGCATATAATTTGTGTGTTTTAAACTGCTCTGAACAGAGTCCAGTTTTTCCTCAGCCTGGCAGTGCACTGTACTCACCACAGTCTTCAAGTCATGCTCCTTCATCAGGTCGAGGGAGTTCTGGTAGCAGGAGGTGAGGTCATTAGTCTCTGTAGGGCCCACATGACCTCTGGCCACCGGCCCCACGGTGTGGATCACATCTGTCGGAACAGGACAAACACAAGCTCGTTTGTAAGTAAGCACGGCCTACTTTTAGCAAGGATAAATGTTTGAAGCTCCGTGGTGGTAAGTGGAAGGCTATAAAAACAATCTGCAAAATCATCAGCAAAATACACAACGTGGGAAAGTTTGTCTTCACAATGAGACAATGAAGAAGGCAAGATGAACCCGCTACCTAAGTGAGTGCATTTATTTAGTAAATGAAGCAGCAGCTTAGATAGAAAATCAATTACAAGATTCTTTTATGCTATCCACTCAAATATTCATATCTCTCCCTGTACTCTCTTTCCCTTCGCATAGTAATGTCTTTACCTGTCAATCACTGGTCTCCTTGTCTGGCCTGGCCAGACCGAAGAATGCAACTTCTTAAATGAATCATAGGCGCGATGACAGGAAAGCAGAAAAGAATCGACTCGGTGACTTGACAGAAACATAATCTTCTGCATTCTGCGTGGCTACCCTTGGCCTTCTCAATGTTGGACAGGCCAGGTCAGCATCAATATACAGGATGTTACTCTGCAACGCCCACATAGCATACCGGGTAGATCACAAAGACTAACTACGAAGAAAAATAATTTATGCAAAAAACAAAAGTCTGCAACAAAAATGAGTATATACATGATGATTCACCAAAAGTCATGATGCCATTCTTCTGTTTATTCAAACCCAGACAGTAATAATATTTCACTATATCCAGCAGTGCGGGCCAGTAAATCTTCATTTTTAAGCAAATTAAATATAGATCATTTCTGACCCTTGGATTTGTAATTTAATGCAGCAAATTCTCATTACTAAAATATTAAACCCTCTCGAAGGACTCAGACCCAGAGCTGGTTCATGTAAGAACTTGCAAATAAATCGCAGTGCAGCCAGCGTTTTCTTATGTTTTCTTACATGCGACCTCAATTATTTGATATGAAACACTCAGCCTCATTTTCCTGCTCAATAAATATCAGCTACATTCCTAATCTACTCTGCCATAAATCATTTTTGGATAAAATTTGATTCTTGGTTCACTCTCAAAGCACATTGTTAAACCACGGCTCATAAAGGAGCATTTTTACAACAGAAGGTTGTAAAGTTATGACATGCATATATTTATGGGGCATATTCATGGGATGGGAGTCATCACCCTGGCAAGTTAGCATAAAGGAAAATGTTTTGGTTTTTCCCCCTAAAGGTGTGGTTATGGTTGTGAAAGGATCTACAGCAGTGGTTCTCAGACATTTTTCTGGCACGGGCCACTGCAGAAGCCAGGGAAAAAGTTCACAGCCTACACCACACAAGTTTGAGAACCACTGGTTTACTGTAACCCAAACTCCTATTTTTTTACTAAATACTGAAGAAAAAAGACTGAAGTAAAAGAAAGTAAACAGCGGCTAACGAGTAGAATGTCAGAAAATACCAGAAAGGATATGAACCCCAGACGGAAAGTGCAGCATATCAGTCACACCGCCCACAACACGACTTTCAAGTCACAATTTGTTGAGATGAAAGCAAAGAGTAGCTATTACACATTTTAGTGTGACAATCATTAATACTTCATGATAATAAAAAGCAGGGACCTTTATCATCAAGAAGAGTTTTCTAATGTTGCTTAAGGGGTAATATTTAGTTTTTGGGAGAGGTACAAAACACGGGGCCAGGTTGATCCCAATGCTAAACTGAGGTTGTGTTGTAATGAGAATAGAACTGTTTGAACTATTCCCTTTTTCCAGAATTGCAGACTGAAAATTGCATAGCACAATGTGGTTATAATGGGACACGTGGTAAGTTGTTTTTCGTGCATAATTCATGAAGTTCACTACAAGAACGGCCACATGCCAATTATAGTGTGGGCAAGCGCCAAAAACCAGACTACTGGTGAATTCATGAAAATTTAAGCAGTTCTTATTTCATCAGTATGGATGCCTCCACTTGTTTCCTCAACTCTTCCACATCAAATAAATATTTATACAACTGTGTTTCTGTAAGGTGAAAGACATGTTTCCCTTTGTGACTAAGGAGGGTTATTACAGGAAGGACAGTTTGTTACGGTAGAGCTCAGAGAGACTCTGGCAGCTACTTCACCATCTCAGTAAACTTCAACACAAATGACCTTTCTACCCCCGATTTACAAGGAGTGGAATGCTCCATTCAAAGGAAAACACAGTATTTCTTTAAATTCAAGGAAATCCAAGAATTAAATCCAAGTATTTGCAACAAGGTGATAAACTCCATCAAGCTAATATCACTAAAAATATAGGCTCATGACTCAACATCCATGTATTGAATCATACTTTTTTAAAGGCTTTTGAGTGCACAGTGGGGGTGTGAAGTCAATCCTTCTGCACAGACTCGCTGACGTACAAAAGAACTATGTCAACAACAAAAACAAATATAACCTTGTTAGTATGGTGTTTTAGCTATGGACAGCTTAACCTTGCTTAAAAGACAGAAGTCTCTCTTAGCATAAAAAGTTATTTTTCTAATGCTTTTGAATGATGTTTTTCCAACAACCTAAATTGCACACAGATGCTCTTCGCAATAAGAGCTTGAAAAGCTCTGACGGGTCATTATTAACATTCTTCATCATTTTGCCTTTTCTCTCCTGGTAAAACCCTCAGCTTTTATCATCAACTGCACCCATTAGCTTACAAACGCATCAGTGTTTTTCCTTTTTCCCCTTTGTAAGAATACTGACACATGTAGACCATTCTCTCAGTGCTGCCTTTCTTCAAGAGGCAAATAAATTTCTATCTTTACAGGGCTGAAAAGATTTCTGGTGATTGTCTTGCGCCGGTTGGGCTTAATTGTGGAGATATACAAATACAGGCCATTTTACCATAACAAGCGTGGAAAACAGAGTTAAATGTTTTCATGAAGCACATTTAAAGGTTGCTTTCTTTATACTAGACAAGCCAGCAGAGTTTAATCTATGAGCATACAGAAAGTCTTTAGAAATTTCACAGATGTCTTCTTTAGCTTTCTCACTCATACAACAACAAAACCCATGCACACGCTTTTGCTTTCAGCTTCCATTTTCAGCAAAGATTTTTTTTTTTTTTTTGGCAAATTTTTGATCGACTGGATTTGTTCATCTTGGTCTTGATGGTTGCTCGGGGCTATAACGTCAGTGACATGATTGCACCAGCAAAGATTGATGACTGCCATTCAAACTTCGTACTCTCTCCCCATGAGACTACAGACTCCTCAAAGAAAAACAAAAGCAATCCCAAGGTTTGTTCCTTTTCCCGTGAGACTCAAAGAATATTTATGCGTTAAACCTGCGGTCGCTGGACAGCATTAAATACCACAACCGGACCTCAAGATCTGATCTGTTGTTCTGTGATGATAATACTGGGTTATATTATTTTTTGTTGTTTTTCCTCAAGCATAAACAATTTACTTGATGTTTATCTTGTCTATTATGATTACTCAGTGTGGGCAGGTTTACTCCAAAATGCCTAACCATTAATTCTAAGTGGGTGTCTTGATTGCTGAAACTGGTAAGTCCTCCACTATAAATTAAGGAAACATGTCACATTATGTTGCTTGTTGTACTGCAGATGTGGCACAATTATCATACATTTCCCCCCAGTCAGTTCTTAGCAGTCAATAAAAAACAGAAGTGAAATGGGAAAACGCACAGCAAGCCAAGAGAGTAGAAAAAGAAAAGTTCTACTTAAGAAAAAATAAAAAGTTGCTGCTGGTCTTTTTGTTGTCGTTAAAGCCCAATCGACACTGAAAATTACAACAAAAATGCATTATTGGATAAAATAATAATAATTTCTGCCTGAATAACCTGAGAAATTGTCCCATTTTCCTTTGCAAGGGAGATGCGTATGTTCATTCAACAGCAAAAGACTCCAGGGAACACCGCAGCAAGTATAAAGGTGAAGATGCTGTTAAATGTTTATGCACTAGACACAAACTAGCCATCCGACAGACTGAAAATGATCCTCGTTTCAACCAAAATGATCGTGAATTTAGAAAATGACTGTGCTGTTGGCAGGATGACAGTGCCCTTATCTATAAGGTGTGGGGGGAGTCACTGAATGGTTTGATAAGAAACTGATGTGAAGTATTTTATATCACAAAACAGCCGTCACAGTCGCCATCTCTCAGTCCAGTTGAACACCCAAGGGAGGATTTGGTCGGACAGCGCTCTCCACTATCATCCTTAAAAGACCAAGAATTAGAAGAAAGGTGTTTCTGCCCCCAAAGCGCACTCGCAGAGACACGCTACTGTTCTTGTACCATGTGATGTCCCAGTTAAGACAATGTTGTTGCTTTTTTGTCTTTCCCCTCTGTAATTTGTTACCTGTCCATATAAAAGCTCGCTGCATCCACATTCTGTTCTCTCCTCTTCTAGGCCATCATGTATTATAGATAATAGTGCACTACACAAATCTATAGGAAACCATAAGAAGGTAAATGTAATGCAGTCTATATTTAGTTAATGCAGACCTTCAAATGTCAGATGTACTTTCACATATTCCGGTGAATTGCACTCTGTGCATGGTGCGTCTGCGTTACACATGGCAACTCGAAACGTCGACTCAGTATTGGCATTATTGATAGTGTTCATAGAATTCAGCTATTTGAGATCCTCAGATCAGGGGCAAAAACATAAAAGAATTAAAAAAAATAAACCCTGAGATGAAGACATCCCTTGTGGCGAGATATTTCTGTTATCGGAGAACGACTGGACACAAAATGACCCCCGAACACACCAAATGTAGCGAATGTGTAAGAACATGTTAGACAAGCCCACTAAAGCGCTCCTCGGCTCTCCCAGAGCTCAGGAATAACTACCAAGGGGACATGCTCACTTCAAAGACGCCACTTTCTTAGCAACTACAAAATCTTTTGAAAAATCTAGACTTCATTTAAAAGTGAAGTACCATGTTATTTCAGAGAGCGACCAGCACTCCACAGCCTAATCAATCTTTCATTTTTATATGCCACGTACCATCCCAGATAATAACTGTTCCAAAAG